TTTCTATGAGAATCGTGTATTTATCTTTAACGTAGTTTACGGCAAAGAGTTTTCATGCTCAAGTAGACTTAACCAAACATAAATGCTTTTATTGTCCTTATAAAACCCCAAGTTAAAAAGCCTCTCTGAGCAGTTAGCATAGATCTGTGTCTGGATAGTTTTTGAGACAGGGAGTGGCACCATCTTGGCTCACTGCAGCCTCAACCTCCCAGGCTCAAGCGACCTTCCCACCTCAGCCTCCTGAGTAGCTGGGACCATAGGCGTGCGCCATCACACTTGGCTAATTATTGTGATTTTTGTAGAGATCGGGTTTCCCCATGTTGGCCAGGCTGGTCTCAAACTCCTGACCTCCCAAAGTGCTGGTATTACAGGTGTCAGCTACCACCCGTGGCTCCAAATTCTAATTTGTTCAATTCTCCTGCAATCCGCCTCCAGTCTCAAGCAAGAAGGAAAGTCCTTTGTGACTTTTTACCTAAGGAATTTTTACAGAGCTCAAAACATACGCATATGAAGTCAGAGGCTCTTCTGGTCTCCATAAACCAAAGTCCGTAGAAGACATAACCTTGTGTGTCTTGCAGGGGAAGTAGAGAGAAATGTTTGTTTGTTCGTTTGTTTGTTTGAGACAGAGTCTCTCATTGTCACCCAGGCTGGAGTGTAGTGGCACAATCTCTGCTCACTGCAACCTCCACCCGCCAGGTTCAAGAGATTCTCCTGCCTCAGCCTCCTGAGTAGCTGTGACTACATGCGCGTGCCACCACACCTGTCTAATTTTTTCTGTTATTAGTAGAGACGGGGTTTCACTGTGTTAGCCAGGATGGTCTTGATCACCTGATTGTGATCCGCCTCCCTCAGCCTCCCAAAGTGCTGGGATTACAGGCGTGAGCCACCGCGCCTGGCCCAGAGGAAAATATTTTTAAGAGTGGGAGAGAGATCACAGATTCTAGAGACTGGACAGGGGACAGAAATCAGTGGGTCTGAAAAGTATCAGGAGCCTATGCATAGCTTGACAGCCATGCAACAGACAGATTCTGTCTAGAATAAAGCCCAAACCAAGGAGGAAAGATCTCCCAGGGAAGGCTTGTCATGAGCCTAAAGAGAACGGACCCCCAGGATGCCCAAAAATTCTCCTACCCCAGGCATGGTCCAGAAGCAGCTAAGCACTTAAACCTTGCTGGTGAGACACAGGCACGTCAGCAGAAACCAGCATGAGCCACCGCTCACTAAGCAGAGCTATCAGTGTTCCCTCAGAATCTAAGCATGGTGCCACGAGAAGACCAGTCATGACAGTGAATTCTCTTCCTGTACTGCAGGAGGGGGGCTCAGAGTCAGATTCCTGTTGATTCAAGGAAAACGAGGAAATGTGATGTTTTCTTTTCTTTTCTTTTTTTGAAACAGTTTCGCTCTTGTTGCCCAGGCTGGAGTGCAGTGTTGTGATCTTGGCTCGCCACAACCTCTGCCTCTCAGGTTCGAGTAATCCTCCTGCCTCAGCCTCCTGAGTAGCTGGGATTACAAGTATGTGCCACCAGGCCCGGCCAATTTTTTTTTTTTTTTTTTTTTAGTAGAGACAGGGTTTCTACATGTTGGTCAGGTCAGTCTCGAACTCTCAACCTCAGGTGGTCTGTCGGCCTCAGCCTCCCAAAGTGCTGGGATTACAGGCATGAGCCACCACACCCAGCTGGAAATGAGATATTTTCTGCACAGTTGAGCTTGTGAACTGCAATTCATTCCCACAACAGACAGATTCTGTCTAGAATAATGGACACTACCTGACTTTCACAGGCACAGTATCTGTGTCCAGTGGAGATAAAACCAGATAATCGACCCTTCTTACAGAATGATTTCTTAGTAAATATCAATGAATAAATGGAGTGGAGAAGTTTTTAAAAAGTTATTCCTCACGGGGAGCAGTTTTCATCCCATTTCCGACTAGTTAGGTATATTGTTTGTTAGACTAAGTTTAAAAGTGTGGAAAATGGGTAAATCAGTCCAGTTTATTAATTCTGATAGTTCAAATATGGGATGCATTTATAGTTAGAGTATATATCATGAGCACATCAAGAGATCTATTTAAGAATATTATAAAGTTAAAATATTTGCCTCTAAGAAAGAACTCGCTGTAAGATCAAAAATCAATCCATGGTTCCAGCATACCTCTTACTGCTTAGTAACAGTACAGAAGAAAGTGAGGTATATTCTGCATGGGTCAAGTGCATTTTATTTCTTTTGATCCATATAGAATGCTTAGTGTAATTAATAAAATTCACATTGGAAACAAACATTTTGCTGAATTTTAAAAGGTTCCGTCAGATACTTCCAATTCATTATTTTCATGGGGTTCCCAAACCTAATGTATTCATGCCTTTCTGATATCAAAAGTCATAGTTTGGGAGTTTACTATTAACATAGCAAGAAATGTAAGACATTGAGGTTAGTGCAATAGACAAAGTATGAGACAGTGTCTCCTGATCTAAAGCAAAATCCATCAGAACAGATTCCTTGCCCAAACCAGAAGCATTAACAAAATGTAATCTGTTAATTGCAAACAAACTAAAATTATTAAATCAACTGAAATTAAATTACATTTCTCATTCCAGAAATAGAAATACTAGTGGGTTTTTTTTCCCCTTGGCATTACAAAATTATATGGACGGAAGAAGGAAAGGAAGGGAAGATGGGAGAAAGGGAGGAGGAGAGGAAGGCAGGAGAAAAGGGAGAAAGGAAGGGGCTGCCTTGCCTTTACAATGTTACAATAATTTTTTTTTTCCAAATGGAGTCTCACTCTGTCGCCTAGGCTGGAGTGCAGTGGTGCAATCTCCACTCACTGCAACCTCCACTTTCTGGGTTCAAGTGATTCTCCTGCCTCAGCCTCCCAAGTAGCTAAGATTACAGGTGCCACCCCCACACCGGCTAATTTTTGTTTGTTTGTATTTTTTTAGTAAAGATGGGGTTTCACCATATTGGCCAGGCTGGTCTTGAACTCCTGACCTCAGGTGATCGCCTGCCTTGGGAGAAGAGAAAAAATACAACTGAAAAAATGCATAGGGGACACCGATCCAAGATGGCCAATCGCTAACATCTCGGGACTGCAGCTCTCAGTGAAGGTGCGGAGAACTAGAGGACGCCACACTTTCAGACAAATTCTGGTCGCTCACGGAGCAGAAGATCCCCAGTGGAGGAATCACATGGGTCGCCGGCGCGACTTTTGTGGCCGGTGCAGCTGTTCCACCGCCACCTCAGCGCGGCAGCTCTCGGAGCAGAGTAAACAGGTTCGGAGGACCCACAAGGGCCCCCAGCACGACACCAGAGCCCGGCACAGCGGCTGTGATGGCACCTCCGTGCAGCAGCGCTCGGAGCAGAGGCGCAGAGTAAGCGGGACCGGCTCCCCTTCTGACAGAGGTTTGCAGCCCCAGGAAGGCAGAGTCACCCACTACGGACAAAAGAAGGAAGCCAGACAAGAGAATCCTGGGCAGAAAAGCACCATCAGTTTTAATGCTGCTGCTCTGGCTCTGGGAACTAACAACCTGGACGCCCACTCAAGAGACCTAATCTGAAAGTTGGTAAATTCAAAGACGGCAGGAGGATAAATTTACAATGACGGGAAGAAACCAGCGTAAAAAGGCTGAGAATACTCAAAGTCAGAACGCCTCTCCCTCTAAAGATGATCACAGTTCCACATCAACAATGGAACAAGGCTTGATGGAGAACGAGTGCATCCCAATGCTAGAATATCGCTTCAGGGAATGGATAATAACAAACTTCGGTGAGTTAAAAGAACATGTTGTAGCCCAACGTAAAGAAACTAGGAACTTTGAAAAAAAGTTTGATGAAATCCTATTGAGAATAGACAACTTAGAGAGGAGTATGAGTGAAATAATGGAACTGAAGAATACAATACAGGAACTCCGAGAAGTTTGCACAAGTTTACACACTCGAATTGTTCAAGCAGAAGAAGGGATATCAGAGGTCAAAGTCCAACTTAATGAAAGAAAACACGAAGAAAAGATTAGAGAAAAAGGGATAAAAAGGAATGAGCAAAGTCTCCAAGAAGTGTGGGACTATGTGAAAAGACCAAATTTACGTTTGATAGGTGTACCTGAATGCAACGGAGAGAATGAATCTAAGATGGAAAATACCCTTCAGGAAGTTATTCAGGAAAATTTTCCTAAACTAGCAAAGCAGATCAATATTCAACCCCAGGTAATACAGAGAACACCACAAAGATATTCCTCAAGAAGAGCAACCCCAAGGCACATAATCGTTAGATTCACTAGGGCTGAAAAGAAGGAGAAAATACTAAGGGCAGCCAGAGAGAAAGGTCAGGTTACCCGTAAAGGCAAGCCAATCAGACTCACAGCAGATCTCTCAGCAGAAACTCTACAAGCCAGAAGAGAGTGGGGGCCAATATTAAACATCCTCAAAGAACAGAACCTTCAGCCCAGAATTTCATATCCAGCCAAACTAAGCTTCACAACTGAAGGAAAAGTAAAATCTTTTATGAACAAGCAAGGACTCAGAGATTTTATTACCACCAGGCCTGCTTTACAAGAGCTTCTGAAAGAAGCATTACACACAGAAAGAAACAACAAGTATCAGCCCTTCTAAAAATATACCAAAAAGTAAAGAGCACCAACATAAAGAAGAATTTACACCAACGAATGGATAAAACAGCCAGTTAACATCAAAGGGCAGTAACCCTAAATTTAAATTGACTAAATCCCCCAATCAAAAGACACAGCCAAAACCCAACAGCATGTTACATCCAGACCTGTTTCACATGCAAGGATACACAAAGACTCAAAACAAAGGGATGGAGAAAGATTTACCAACCAAATGGAGAGCAAAAATAAATACATAAATAAATAAAAAGCAGGAGTTGCAATTCTCGTATCGGATAAAATAGATTTTAAAGCAACAAAGATATAGTGGTAAAAGGATCAATGCAACAACAAGAGCCAATGATCCTAACACCCAGATACATAGAGACGTAGACACAATGAGACAGAAAATTAATAAGGATATCAAGGACTCGAACTCAGATCCGGAACAAGTAAACTTAATAAATATTTATAGAGCTCTCCACTTCAAATACACAAAATATACATTCTTGTCAATACCACATCACACGTACTCAGGTTTAAATGAAACATTGATTGGCCATTATTAATACCCATTTTTTTTTAAGAATAAAGCAATATTTCCACTCACTTTCCCTCTTTCTCTTCCTCTTTCTTCCTCTCCTTTACTCATTTTTTTCTTCTTTCCTTCACTCAAAAAAAAAAAAAAAAAGAAATCAACTTGTAAACCTCTAGATCCAGGTCGGCAATGTCTCTCTCATTGCTTGAATTCCTTCCTTCCCTTCCCTCCCTCCCTTCCTCCCTCCCTCCCTCCCTCCCTCCTTCCTCCCTTCCTTCATCCCTCCCTTCCAAAAAAAAAAATGCATAAACAAAGCAACATAATCACATACTAGATTAGATGATGCAATCAACTGATACATCATTTCACTAACCAAGCTGAAAATTAACTGCTTTGTGTATGTGGAACATTTTATTATCAATTGTTAGGTGCCCAATATATGTCAATATCAAATAAAGGGCAAGGTACGTGGAAAAGAATTGAGGACAGCTGGAATCATTCATCAAAGAAGTGGTTCTCTATTGGTTTCATTAAAACCTGAGGTTACCTTTAATGTTATTATGTGTCCATCTTTGAGAGAGTTTTTTGTTTTTAATTTTCTTCTTCTTCTTTCCATTTCAGTCTTCTCCAGCAACAAAAGCCAATAGGCCAGGTGATTGAGGAGTAGCACAAAGTGTTCTAGACCTGAGTTAGAGTCTTACCTGAACCTTTCCATGACAACTGTTTTGTTGTTGTTGTTGTTGTTGTTGTTGTGTTTTGAGATGGAGTCTCACTCTGTCACCCAGGCTGCAGTACAGTGGTAGGATCTCGGCTCACCACAACCTCTGCCTCCCAGGTTCAAGCAATTCTCCTGTCTCAGCCTCCTGAGTAGCTGGGATTACAGGCTTGTGCCATCATGCTAAGTTAATTTTTATATTTTTAGTAGAGATGGTGTTTCACCAGGTTGGCCAGGCTGGTGGTCTCAAACTCCTGACCTCAAGTGATCTGCCCACCTCAGCATCCCAAAGTGCTGAGATGACAGTCGTGAGCCACCGTGCCTGGCTACATGACAACTTTTGGGAGAAATTTACCAATTTGAGCCTAGACTGGTATATTTCTGGATATGGTGTATTAAAACCAGTTAAGCATGTCATACTGAAAACAAAATCAAAGTTACAGCTTATTAAAAAGAGTTGTTTTTCTGTGTCTGATGTAGGTAATCTTGAGCTAAGGAGTTAACTCCTTCCATCTCCATTTCTTCACAGGTAAAGAGGAGCCATTAGTCTCAGAGTGAGGATGAAGAAAGTGCAGTTAAGAAGTATCTGGGAGCCGGGCGCGGTGACTCACGCCTGTAATCCCAGCACTTCGGGAGGCCGAGGCTGGTGGATCATGAGGTCAAGAGATCGAGACCATCCTGGTCAACATGGTGAAACCCTGTCTCTACTAAAAACACAAAAAATTAGCTGGGCACAGTGGTAAGTGCCTGTAATCCCAGCTACTCGGGAAGCTGAGGCAGGAGAATTGCCTGAACCCAGGAGGCGGAGGTTGCAGTGAGCCGAGATCGCGCCATTGCACTCCAGCCTGGATAACGAGAGCGAAACTCCGTCTCAAAAAAAAAAAAAAGAAGCATCTGGAACTGACAAGGCAATCAGGGCTGGCCATTACTCTTTCCCCTTTAGAAAGTGGGTTAAAAAGTGAGGAGTCTATTGTGGATTGCTGCTTCTCAAGCTTTAACAGGTATACAGAACATCCAGGATACTGTTAAGACACAAGTGTCGGGGAGGGCCTGAGATCTGACATTTCTAATGTCGCTGCTTCAGGCACTACTCTAAGCAGTACAGCTTCCAAGATTAAAAAGAACATGGAAATGTCAGAGGAGAGAAAGATTGACAAGGAGAAAAATAAACCAACATTTACAGAATGCCTACTTTATGCCTAGAAATATATACATAAACACATCTTTCTCCCTCGTTTTATCCTTAAAATATCTCTGAGAAGCAGGTTTTATTTCCTTCATACATGGCAGGAAATTGAGAATCAGGTGCCCTTGCTCAAAAGATTGCTATAATCCAGGCCGGGCACGGTGGTTTATGCCAGTAATCCCAGCACTTTGGGAGGCCGAGGCAGGGAGATCACAAGGTTAAGAAATCAAGACCAGCCTGGCCAATATGATGAAACCCCGTCTCTACCAAAAATACAAAAATTAGCCAGGTGTGGTGGCACCCACCTGTAATCCCAGCTACTCAGGAGGCTGAGACAGGAGAATCACTTGAACCTGGGAGGCAGAGGTTGCAATGAGTCAAGATCGCACCACTGCATTCCAGCCTGGAGACAGAGTAAGACTCCATCTAAAAAAAAAAAAAAAGACTGCTATAATCCAAAGTTCACATTCACTGCGCACCTTGAGAGGACGCAGAGGTAGGCAGATCAACGGAAGCAGATAGGGACAAAGGAGTCTAAGCGGGAGAGAGTGACTGCCTAGGGGAGGGACCAGGGGCCTGTGGAAGGAGAATTGAAGGGACTGGGGATGTGTGGGTACAGAAACGGTGCAGGGATGATAACCCCCTTGCTCCCAACAGCCTTTCAAAGCCAGGCTAGTTGCTGTTCTCAGTTCAACCCTTCACCTTTCGGGTCAAATTGTCATTGACAAAGCACTGATGGTCTTCCATGCAGTGAAAAATGGACCTGGTACGACTTCACCTCTCCAAGCTGTTTCTGTGGTTACCAAGATAAGGAAGAAAATGCAAAGAGGTCAAAAAGAGAACAAGCAAATCCTGCAATTCTAAAGGGACTTTCTCAACCACTGAACTTGGCAAAGAGTTCGCATCTAATCTAAGTTCAACTTTGCACTAGCAAACAAGAGCTGGAGCCAAAGTTATGAGTCCATGGTTATAATGAGGTCTAGCAGGTGAACCTCATATGGCAAGAGAAAAATGCTGACATAAGGCAATTGCAGTGTTTAGGTTCCATAAACTGTGAACTTCATTTAGGGCAGACACAAAAAAAAACGTAATTTTTTTTTATTTTTATTTTTTAGCGACGGGGTCTCGCTATGTTGCCAGGCTGGAGTGCAGTGGCTATTCACAGGTGCAGTCCCACTACTGATCAGCACAGGAGTTTTGACCTGCTCCGTTTCTGACCTGGGCTGGTTCACCCCTCCTTAGGCAACCTGGTGGTCCCCTGCTCCTGGGAGGTCACCATATTGATGCTGAACTTAGTGCAGACACCCCATCGACATAGTGCACTGCAGCCCAGAACTCCTGGGCTCAAGCGATCCTCCAGCCTCAGCCTCCCAAGTAGCTGGGACTATAGGCATGCGCCACCATGCCCAGCAAAAACATAATTATTTTTAATAAATTACAACCTTAATTTTGTTTTCAGGATGACATGTGTAACTGTTTTTATGGCTCCCTCTTTAGAAATATGCCAATTTGGGCCAAAATTAGTAAATTTCTTCAAAAGCTGTGAGGAAACCTATCGTTGTTAAATAGAAACAAATCATGTAATGTTTCCTTATACTACCAACTCCATTCCTTGAGAATACAGAACCTGGGATTCATTGGAGTGAACAGTTTCTCCTCCTTGCCTGCATGAGTAAGACCTAGATACGATAATTCCTCATAGTAATCATGATCAAAGAATCAAAATAGTACCAGGAAAATGGTAAAGGAATGTGGCCAAAGAAAAGCAGGACCAACTTTATGACAAAGGAAAGCAGCATGTATTTAGTCTACATACATTAATTCTTCTTCTTTTTTTTTTTTAAGACAGTCTTACTCTATCGCCCAAGCTGGAGTGCAATGGTGCAATCTTGGCTCACTGCTACCTTCATCTCCCAGGTTCAAGCGATTCTCCTGCCTCAACCTCCTGAGTAGCTGGGTTTACAGGGGCATGCCACCATGCCTCACTGATGTTTGTATTTTTGGTAGAGACAGGGTTTCACCATGTTGGTCAGGCTGGTCTCAAACTCCTGACCTCGTCATCCACCTGCCTTGGCCTCCCAAAGTGCTGGGATTACAGGCACGAGCCACTGCACCCAGGCTACATACATCAATTTTATTTAATCTTCACAAACTTGTGGGCTAGGTAGTGAGATGCCCATTTTACAGATGGGAGGTCTGAGGTTGAGATAAGTTAATTAACTTGTTCCTGATCATGTTACTAGTAAGTGGCAGTTAGGATTTAAAAGACAAAGGCGATACTCTTGCAAAGCATATAGGGATTGTAATTGAAAGTGTCGATTGCCTATCTATCAATTCTCTTCCTCCTTAACAGAAGCCCAATTTCTATCTGGGCAAACTGTCACTTGGAATAAAAGAATATATTTTCTTGAAGCTAGTTGTGGCCATGTGCCTAAATTATAGACAATGAAATACAAGTAGAAATGTTACATGGGCCAGGTGCAGTGGCTCATGCCTGTAATCCCAGCACTTTGAGAGACCAAGGCAGGCCAGTCACTTGAGGTCGGGAGTTCAAGATCAACCTGGCAAGCATGGTGAAACCCCATCTCTACTAAAAATACAAAAAGTAGCCAGGCATGGTGGCAGGCGCCTGTAGTCCCAGCTACTCTGGAGGTTGAGGCAGGAGAATCAATTTTTTTTAGAGATATAGAGTATCTAAAATCTTTTTTAGAGATGGAGTCTCACTATGTTGCCCAGGCTGGAGGGCAGTGCTTATTCACAGGCATGATCACTGTGGACTGCAGCCTTGAACTCCTGGCCTCAAGATATCCTCCTGCCTCAGCCTCCCAAGTAGCTGGGACTACAAGAGCACACCACCTCACCTAGCTTATTTTCTACTATCTTATCAATAGAGCAAGATTCCATCCAAAACAAAAAACAACAATAACGACAACAAAAAACGCTGGGTGCGGTGGCTAACACCTGTAATCCCAGCACTTTGGGAGGCCAAGGCAGACGGATCAAGAGGTCAAGAGATCAAGACCATCCTGGCCAACATGGTGAAACCCCGACTCTACTAAAAATACAAAAAAATAGCCAGGCATGGTGGCAGGTGCCTGTAGTACCAGCTACTCTGGAGGCTGAGGCAAAAGAATTGCTTAAACCCAGGAGGCGGAGGTTGCAATGAGCCAAGATCGCACCACTGCACTCCAGCCTGGCGACAGAGCAAGACTCCATCTCAAAAAAAA